TTTGTTGTGTTTTGGAAAAGAGAGGGTTTTTCTTTTAATTGATTTATAGTTTGTGCATGAAGAAAGAGTACAAGCAAATAAAAAAATAAAAAAAATTATCTCAAAACAACGTTGCTTTTAATGCATTATAAATTGTACTGTAGACAATCACTAGAGACAATCTGAACTCAACATTGTTAGATATGCTTTAACATGCCCAAGTACAAGCTAACTCAAGAAAGAGAGTAAAAGGGGGACATTTTTACCACCATTTTGAGGTTTGTTCATCTACATTTAAATTCAACCAATGCAAGACTTATACATGTTAATCATTATTTTAAAAAATGATAAATTTCATTTTCTTTCAATGCGGTTTGGCCCTTGTGTGAATTTTCTCCCTCTCATTTGAAAATAATCACATAACCCCATTGTGATTTGTGGACTGAACTATATCATTATGTCGTGAACTATTTAATGTGTAAGAGTAAAATACCTATATATATATATATAAGTAATGTAAGTGTAAACTACGAATATTTTCGTCATTTGTTTGGAAGAAAAAATGTACTTTAATCACTTGTGCTTTATTATATGTGCAATTTACTCTATTGAAATTTGTAAATAAATGTATAACCATATATATATCTGGCACGTGTTTTACAGTACTGTTAAGTTGGATGAAATGTTTAACAGTGCATTTCAGTTCAAAAATTACAAAACGGTTATGTAATAATTACTTCTAAACAAAAATACTAGAGACTCCAAATAAATTATCAAATATTTTACTAAATACTCGTATAGATATATGTCCCATATTTTGGACTCCACAACCATGTGAGTATTGTGTAAAGAGAATGGTTTCTCTCCAGTTCAAATCGAGCTGGAGGGTGCTATTGGGCCTTTGTGTGTCTTTTACAAAACACCCATCAATGATACGAATCATTCAATGTGTATGACTTATTGAGTATTTTATCCTTGCAATATTTAGGTGATGTTTGGTAACGTTTACGTTTATAAAAATTCTGTAAACTAATTTTTGTTTATTTTTAGAAAAATAAAAATTGAAAACACGTTTGCTTTGAACAAAATATTTGAAAATTTTTCAAAAACAAAAAAAACTTTCGGGAGCTGTCTCCATGGTTTGATCAACTAAGAGCATCTTCTATAGTTTGCCATTGGAGTTGCTAAAGCTATATTATAACAGTTTTGAGGAAAAAAGGTTCTCCAATGGTCACAAATAGCAACTGTTAAAAATGACAAATGCCAAAGTTGTTGCCAAGTTTGACAACAACTTTGGCAAATAGCAAATCTGCCAGCTCACCCAAAAACTAACTGATTTTCTTCCTTCCCTCCCTCCCTTTCTCATCATTTTCAAGAAAAAAAACTCAAACAAAAATAGATCAATAATTTCATTTTGCAAAATTCAAGAATTGTTTTTTAAACAAAACTCATCAATTTGTTTAAACAGGGTTGACAATTGACATTTGGAAAAAAAAAATAAAAAAATCAACAATTCATTTTTTAAACAAAATTTCAAACAATCTCAACATATTCAAAAAAAAAATTTTAAATGTAAATTGTAACAGTGAATTAGCATAACCAATCGAACCAACCTTCAGCAAAGAGAACCCTTTTATTGTAGAGCAACAAGATCTCTGTCTCCATGCAGAGTTTTCCAAGTACCTATGGGAAGAGGAATAATAGCTTTGGTTGCAACGGAAAAATATCCTCTGAAGAAATACACAGCTTTGGTCATGGAAAAGCAGACCGACCCGACTTCGCATACTCTGCTACGACCTTCAATGACGCCATTGAAGAAAACTCCAATCAGATTATGAACCTAGAGTTTTTCGAGACGACGAATAGGGTTGAAAGGATGGAGCTATGATGGTACGTACGGAGATTGGAGACGATTAGCATGAGCGATTCATTAGACGTTGATGGGAAATTTTGAGAGAGAGAGACAGCGAAGTGGAGTATGATTCCAGAGAGATAGAGATGAAGACAGTGAGAGAAAGGAAAACAGAGGCAATGAAGAGAGACATAGAGATATATTTTGAGAGAGAGCCAAAGGTTCATCTCTATCCAAACATTTTGAGAGATAGATACTTTGAGAGAGAGCCCAAATATTCTGAGTATTTAAATTTATTTTTTCAAAATTTCAATTTCTTTTTCATTTTTTTTATTTGTCTAGTCAAGTATAATATAAATATATAATTTTTTTACAAACAGATAAAAAAAAAATAACAAAAGACAAAAAAATAAACCAAAAAAAATCACTAAAAAACTTATATTACAAACTTGGAGAGAAAGTAGGTTGATATTTTCCAAAATAACATGTGTACCATTAGAGCACCATTGTTATAATTTGACAAATTATTAATATTTATTGCCAAATTATAATAATAGAAATAGTATTATAACAACAACCATTAGAGACCCTCTAACTTCGTACAAAGTCAGCCACCTTTCTTCCGCTTTGCTATTCTGTGTTCTTCATGCATTTTTTTAGTTTTTAAACTTTTGTACTTTAAAAATAATTATAAAAAAAGTATTATTTTTTTTGGCGGAAATGAGCCGTAGCTCGACACCAAGGGCTTGAATTGGCTCGAAAGAGGGAGAGGAGAAAGAGATGGGAGGGAGAGGAAGAAGGGAGGGAGGAGATCGTCGCGCAGCACCACCGCCGTCGCATCGCCGCCGATCGTTGCAGCTTCAGACCGTCGCCTCGCCGATCATCGCACCACCGCCACCGCCTCGCCGATCGTCGCAGTCGCAGTCGCAGCCCCGCCTCCTCCTCCAATTATAAAAGGAAAAAAAAATATTTACAAAAATTTAAAAACCGAAAAAACACATGGAAGGATCATGGAGGACCTTGTGGTGCACAAGGTCAATTGTTTGAACCACAGGAACAACATTCCCAAAAAAACGGTAGTGCTACGTAACTCGAAACTCGTGGCTCGAGTTTGGCTCGACACCAAAACGACGTCGTTTTGGTGTCGAGCCAAACTCGAGCCACGAGTTTCGAGTTACGTAGCACTACCGTTTTTTTGGGAATGTTGTTCCTGTGGTTCAAACAATTAACCTTGTGCACCACAAGGTCCTCCATGATCCTTCCATGTGTTTTTTCGGTTTTTAAATTTTTGTAAATATTTTTTTTTCCTTTTATAATTTTTAATTTGAGAGATTGGTTTATAAACTTAAAAATTTACCAAACGAATTTATATGCCAATTTTTTTAATGAATATGGAATAATTATCAAACAGGCATTAGTAATCCATTTAGATTCCCTAATATATCTTTATTTCTATATCAGAAAGGGGGTAATTCGCAACAAACAAAAGTACAAGGGTAAAGTGAAATGCGTTCATTAAAAAATATAAGAACTTGTCAAGTAAATTTTGAATTTAAACTTTTACAAATTTGAATCAGTTTGGCGGTTTAAATTTTTACAAATTTTGAATTTAATATAATAACTTGTCAACATTTTTTGTGGGATAACAATTCAACTCAACATAATCAAAAGATTATCAAGTAAATTGGCAATTACCAATAATAAATACATATAAGAAAATTATGCATTATCAAAACTATTTCATTACTTTTTTTATTCAAAAACTATTTAATTTGATTTTTAAAAATGACAAAATTAAACCTTATATTTTCAATACAAAAATATCAAATATCAACACTTATTTGATAAAATGATTTCCAAATTGAAAACACAAGAGAATATCTAAACTCTTTTTCAATTGAAAATAAAAATAGAATATCTAAACATATTGAAAATACAAAATTTTACAAATTACTAGGAGTACTCAAGATTTGACGGTTCGATTGCGGTCAAAGGAATTTCAAATCCGCCATCTGTTGAAAACTAGGCAGATTAAAAAAATTAATTTACAACTGTTCACTCGTCATTGCGTATCCGTTAAAAATGTGACAAATTAATTCAATTCAATCAATTTAAGCGACTCAAAATATCTATTGTTCATTCCTAATATACATATCTACGTACAAAAATTATTTCCACACTGTTCATCCGTCACCAACACTATCATCATAGTTAGGGATGTAATTAGTTTGGTACGATTGGTATTTAGCTAAAAAATTACATCGAACCGATAATGTCGGTTTTATTATTTTGAATACTGATACAGACCGCTTCTCCCATCAAACCGCACCGAATCGAACCGATTGAAATGGTTCGGTTTAGTGCGGTTTAATCGGTTTAGGATTTTTCAAACTTGAGCCACTTTTAAATAAAATCATTAATCTATATAAAAATATTAAATTAGTTATTCGTCTACCATTTTAAACATATCCAATCCATCCATTTAATACGTACTTTTTAATTCCTAAATTATCAAAAATAAAAACAAAAAAAATTTAAAAATATTAAAATTTCAAGAATAATGAGTTAAAGTTAAGATTATATATAATAATAGTTTACAAATTTAAGTTATAAAGGTGATAAGATTAATTAACTAATATTAATAATTTATTATGCTTATTAATATCATTATATTATTAAATTATATATATATATATCACATACAATATATATTAAAGCGGTCAATTTTGATTTAAATCGATACGCAAAGTGCTTAAATCGATACCAATATCAAACTAAAAATTAAAAAAATTCAAATTTAAAAATTATATAAATTGATTCTTATTAAAAAAAACAAATCAAATATAACTGATTTAGTCCAATTTAATCGATTTGATCGACTCTTCCAGTTTTTCTTACCTTCCTAATCATATAGCCGCATAGCCCAAGCCTTCGCACGGTCAGCCCACACATTAACCCACGTGCCTTATTCCACGTGGAATCTAATTATACGAAGTGTCGCCCAAGTAGCGGGCCCACTACTTTAACATACTGCCACGTCACCCAAGGAAAAGGGTTTGGTAGGGCCCCCATTCATGACGCCGCGCGGACACCGGGTCGTCTAATAACCTTAGTTTACTTTTTCGTAATAATCACGGTTTTACGAGGGCAATATGGTAACAACGTTAACAGAAGTTTCAGTCAGTTCATAACAGACAGCAGTGAGCAACGAAAGCGAAAAACAACCTCCCTCCCTCTCTCTCTCTCTCTCTCTCCTCACTTTCTCTCTCTACTCTTCGGTCCTAAAAACCAGAGAAATGGACGCTGACGAGGTAAAGAATCTCATCCATCACTCGCCGGAATCTGACCCACACCACCACCACCACCACCACAACCACAACCACCGCCACCAACCGCTTACTTGATTTAAGATTTCTTCAGAGATCGATTTTGATCTCCTTTTAACCTTTTTTTTTCTAATAATATTTTTGATAGGTTTTATTTTTATAATTTTTCTGTGTGCAGAGATTGACGGCATTGAAGAAGGCATACGCCGATATAATCTTGAATACAGCGAAAGAGGCGGCGGCTCGGATTATGGTTTCGGCGAAAAACTTAGTTTCAGCAGGACTGAATGTCACCAAACAACAGGGGCTTCAGATGTTGCTTCGACTCAAACAAATGTTGGATTCTAAGGTTATACTGTTTTTTCCCAAATGGGTGTGCCTTTTTTTTTTCTTTTTTAATTTTTTTTTTTTTTTTGGGTTTTGAATTTTGGTTTATTTAATGTGCTTAATTTGTTTGTATTTTTGTCTCTGTGGTTCAATGTGGTTCGTGTTTTGTAATCTAGGTTTGCTTTGAAGGGCTTGAATTGATTTGGTTGGGAGATTTTGAGTGTGAATTTGGTGCAAAATCTTTTAAGAATCCATAATGATTTATTTAGTTATTTATTTATTTGCTTATGCTAATTGTTTTTACAAGTGGAATGCACTTCTTTTTATGTAAAATAGGTGAGGATACAATGCACTTATATTCTTTTATTTCTTTGCAACTTTCAACCAATTCAGAAATTTAAATCCCTTTCTTATGTGTACAATTTCGAGTATGTGAGTGCTTTTTTCTTCGAAATTGATGTCAATTTGAATTTATAGAAGGTGATGCATCTAAGACATTGTTTGTTGCTTATTCTGTTAATTGAATTTTGTTCTTCAACTTGGTGGATGTCAAGAATGTTGTAGGACCTTAGAATAACTTATTTTCCTCGTTAGGCAAGTAAAATTCTCTACTGATATGACAGAGGATTACTTTTGTTTTGTCCGTTTGTCTTGGCCATTATTTATGGTTATGTGATTCTTGTAGCCATTATAACTTCTATGTCTTCAATATGTGCCCCATTGGGTTTGATATGAGAAAATATCATTAATTTGAAAATTGTTACTAATGATGAAAAATGATATGCATTCATTAAATTTTTATGCTCTTTTGTCTCTCATTATCACCACACACACACACACACACACACATGTGCATATGTGACACTTGCTGACTCATTACATATTGTTGGGCTTTGCAGATTGGTGCTTGCTATATTTATCGCAGTTTGGTGCTTCTTTGTAAAATTTGCCTATAAAAAAAAATTACTACAGCTGTTCTGGTTATCTGGAGTCATACTAATTCTCGTGCTTAATGCTTGTGTTGATGTTGTTGTATGGACTTCAAGTTGGTTTCAATCTGAAAGTTTTTGGAAAGGAAAGGACTTATCTAGGTTGAGCATTGTTTGCTCTGATATCTGAATAAATTTGAATTTACAAAACTTTAAAATGTTGTTCTTATAGGGATCCCAAACTCAAAAAGGAAATTGGGTTCATGGACCAGTTGCTAAACTAATGTGTAGAAAGGCTCTTGCTTTCTAGATCAATCACATAGTATCACAGTAGTTAACCGGATAAACTGTTTCATTAAATGACTCAAATGTTTGACATTTTGGTACATCTTGGGACCGATGTGCATATCATTTGAAGTTTATATCAACTGAGTTAGTCAAAGTTTATTTCACATTCCGATAAGAAAAAAGGCACCAAATAAGGTAAATTATGAAATACTAAACTCCATTTCCCATTTAGCGTGGTATGCAAATCATGAAATACTAAACTCCATTTCCCATTTAGCGTGGTATGCAAATCATGAAATACTAAACTCCATTTCCCATTTAGCGTGGTATGCAAATCATGAAATACTAAACTCCATTTCCCATTTAGCGTGGTATGCAAATCATGAAATACTAAACTCCATTTCCCATTTAGCGTGGTATGCAAATCATGAAATACTAAACTCCATTTCCCATTTAGCGACTAGGTTGAGGTCCGGCGGGCGGCTAAGGCGAGGTTGCCGCCCGCTGGTGAAGCGAAAAATACTAAGTTCTTAACCTTGCTCTGATACCATGTAAAAAGCATTGTTTGCTCTGATATCTGAATAAATTTGAATTTACAAAACTTTAAAATGTTGTTCTTATAGGGATCCCAAACTCAAAAAGGAAATTGGGTTCATGGACCAGTTGCTAAACTAATGTGTAGAAAGGCTCTTGCTTTCTAGATCAATCACATAGTATCACAGTAGTTAACCGGATAAACTGTTTCATTAAATGACTCAAATGTTTGACATTTTGGTACATGTAGAAATTTAATGTATAAAGAGAAATGATTGTATTATTGATTGTTGTATGTTATATTGATTATGTTTACAATGAGTCCTATATATAGAAGATTAGAGGAGGTAGGTATGTAGTAGGTGGAGTAGGTGAAGTGGGTGGAGTAGGTGTAGTGGTAGGTTTTAACAGTACATCTTGGGACCGATGTGCATAGCATTTGAAGTTTATATCAACTGAGTTAGTCAAAGTTTATTTCACATTTTTTAAAACTATTTTGCTCTGTGTTGCTTTACTTTCTTTGTTTAACTTCTGCTTAACAACCATGGCACTGACATACCAGACCAAATTTGTAGGCCAATGAAGCAGAGATGACATATTTGAGTCAGCAGAGAAAGATTGGAGAGCTTGAAGGACAACTTCGGGACGCTGAGGATAGAGTAAGAAATTTAGTTATCTCATCATATTATTAACAAAATGACACAAGTTTCTTAAATTTTTTTTAACTAGATCTTCTTAAGCCTCTTTGTTTGTTTGGAAATGGAATTACAATCTTCAGAAAAAGAAGAATATGCAGAATTGGTTGACAAAAGAACAATATATGTTTTCTAGAAATATATAGTTCCATTCAAGAAAACTCTAATTGGAATTCACTTACCTCTAGTAATGCAAAGATAATTGTGTCTCTACTTGCACCCTCAAGTTGTGCCTTAGAGAGTAATGGGGCCCAATCTTATACATCTGTCATGAGATGAAATATACTAGTGATCATGCTAAGTGTCATGAATTGAAGTCTTTGGCACACACTAAACCAAAACAAACTAAGCATTGCATCCCACACACTGTTTATTTCATTTTTTGTTCCTTCAAATTCAAATATCAATAACATCTCTATTGGTCCAGTTAGGCCATTTCTGTATCATTATCTTGTGTGAGATTTGTAATATTTACCATTGTAGAAAGTTTTGAACAAGTGTCAAGTGTTCACTGGAGAGTGGAAACACATGTCAAGGACACCAGAGATAGTGGGAGTGAGAGACTAATTAGACCATGAGAGAGAGAGAGAGAGAGAGAGAGGTACCGGAGACCCCCAGTACATGGCTTAAAATTCGGAGAGTAGAGGGATGACATTTAGTTATGATGTATGCTTTCTATTTGTTGAGGGTTGGTCATGCGATCCTTAACAAACTCTCTCAAATATACAAGATTTTTAAATCTTCAAGAGTACGTGCATGAACCCAATGATATGATCTCTCTCTCAGGAAGATTGGCCCAAGACAATGACACCTGTGGGAGGTCATGTTGATTGAAGCCTACTGTCTCTAGGCACTAAGCCATAGGACTCTAGAGTTCCATGGTGCATGCTAATGACACAGCCATACGCAAGGAATCTGAAAGTGACACTGTCGCGTGGTACAACATCCACTGAGGTGAACTAAGGTTGATAGTGAAACGCTGCGATGCACAGTATAACTGTCTCAGTATGATCTCTTGCGGTAGGACTTGGGCACGTACAAGATGCTAGCAAGTCCTAAAGCGCTTAGTCCTATGCCGAACATGTCAACTGGACACATGTCCGCTAACGGCTAACACATGTGGGTTCTTATGTCAATGTGTAAGCTACACGTTGTTGTTCACGTGAATATAAAATGTGGTGGTTCAGGAGATAATCCACAACCATTTGGTAAAATCTTAGCTAAGATTTGAGTCCCTCTATAAAATCAAACAATCAGAGGTCTTCATTTTCCCCATTTTCTGTTTCATTCTTAGATGATAAGTGAAACAGAGGTAGAATGTATCTTGCTTAATTATGCTTAAGGAAAAAAGTCCATTCTTCTAAACACCTTGGATTAATCGGATGAATCCTAGTAAATGAAATTTCAGTTTCATGAGTCTCTTCAATTTACTAGCATGCTTTGAGCCCTCAAACTACAAATTCAGTCCAGACGAGACTAAACGGTGTGTAGACTCTTCTATTTCCCCCAAGGCACCCATATCCACTTGATATGACAAGGGTATGGGCGTGGGAAATGTGTTCGACACCCTACTTAATTTAGACAATTGGATGCTTTAATTCATTATGATATATGAAGAAAAAGAAACTCACATTTTCTAACCTCCCACATGGACGAGAGATAGGAATTTTTATTTTTTTTGTAAATTCTATTTAATTTTAAATATACTTCTACATAATCTACAATATTTTGTTTAAGAATTTTATACAATATGCAGTATATATCTATAATGGCTCCTACACCCATATCCAACTTTTGGATACATATCCCAATACCTAAGATTTAGGTTTTTGAAGGTCTAACGCTTGGGCATGCACCAACACCCGATACTTGTACTCGAGTCTATGTAACATAGCCGGGCAGACATATGTGCAATGACCAGCTATCTTCCATGCAATGTATGATTCTATACTGACAGCAAAAAAAATTCAGTGATGATCGAGTTGGTTAGCTGCTAATCAAATGTGTGGAAAGCTGCTTACTTTTTATTTTAGATCAGTCACATAGTAGTAATTAACAAACTAAACCATTCCATCACATGTCAACATTATAAGTTTGCCTCATGACCCGTGCACACTATTGGAGCACTTCACCTCTTTTACATATACTGAAAACATTAGTATAATTTGATAACCATTCAATCAAACTGATGATGACAACGGATCCAGAGTTTATGTTCCGTTCTTTAAATCTATTTTGCTTTCTCTTGATTTGTTACAACTTCAGCTTAACAACTATGATACTGAAATGCTGGTTTGAATTCATAGATCAATGAAGCAGAGCTGACGACCTTGAGTCAACAGAGAAAGATTGACGAGCTCGAAGCACAACTTCATGAAGCTGAGGATATAGTCAAAGACCTCAGAGAAGAGTTGAGAGAAGTGCAGGCTCAACTGGAGAGGGTGAGAAGCAACAAGTTACAGCATACTAGTGAATGTGATACAGCTACTCAGGAACAAACATCACAGGAGAATGGATTCGATACTTCTCAGTCTTTTATATTCCCTCCACCAGCATCGCGACTTGAATCTTTCACAACTTCTGACATGAAGAATTCAGCTTTCAGTCAAAAGAATGAGGTTTACAAGTCCTACAATGGGAATGATTTTCGTAATGGGAATTCTTATATTGGTAGACCTGATCTTCCCTCTACATCAGAGGATAACAGACTAAATACATACCAGTCTATTATATTGCCTCCTCCAGAATCACAGCTTGAATCTTTCACAGCTTCTGACATGAAGAGTTCAACATTCAATAAAAAACATGAGGTCTATAAATGCCATAGTACAAATGATTTTCATATGGGGAATTCCCATGTTAGTAAACCTAATCTCCCCTCCATAATACTGAGAAGCAAGGAACCTGAACTCTACAGAAATCGACGCACTCAGAGAATTCGTGCATTCGAAGAGAAACTGATGGCCGGAGAATTGTCCTTTTCTCAAACAATAGATGATGTGAATTACGAAACAAGTAATAGAGAAGATGGTGAACGTGAAGGGATCTGTAAGACACCAACTCACAAGGCTGATAACATTTGTAGTACAGAAAAGAAAAATGTAGCGCAGGCTGATAGCAGTTGGCACCAAGTTAAAGTCAAGTCTTTCCGAAAAAGGAGAAGAGCTACTGGATATACAAGAAACAAAACCCCCTCGTCTAGGTATCTCTCCAATCAGGTCCTGAAAAGGGTCCAAAATTATGATGGCACAGAGGCAAATTTTGTCAATAACAATGTTCAATCCAGTGGAGACCCTTCTAACATGGCCCCAAGATTATCAGCTGATACAACAGAGAATGGCACACTGTTGGGATGTACGGAAATTACTGAAAGCGATGCAGAGTTTGTTGAAGTGGGTAGTGTCCAGAACACTATGAACAAGGACGAGGTGTCAACAGATAAATTATTGCTGATGAGATCAGAAAGTGGATCTGCAGAGAGTTCAGGGGTTCCAATTTGTGGAATGGGCATTGAGAAAGTGGATGTGCCGGTAGTAAACTCAGAGACAAAGACACCTGGCACATCCAGTGGGATTCCTTACAATCATGTAGCTGATAGGGTTATCAAGTACACATTCCAAAGGAAGCGGAAGAAAGAGTCTCTGAGCAGCTCTGATGGGAATGCCGCTCTTGAAGAGTGCATTTTGAAGAAAAAGACAGCAGATAAACAAAATGGTTCACTGGAGATGGAGAAGTCTAGCTCAATAACTGAGTCATCTCGAGACAGTCGGCGTCTAGCACAGGTTGCTCGTCAGGTTGGTGATATATTATATATATGTGATGTTTTATTTATTTATTTATTTATTTTCTTTTCGTTTGCCTGTTTGTCTACATATTTAAGTAGATATCTATGCACGGTAGAATTTGTTTTGATAAGCTCCAAGTCTTGGAGAATTCTTGTGAGGTTTAGTAGGAGTGGCATAAGTTCTGCTGGATTGGCATCACCAGTATAGGTACTAGCCCAGCTGGTCTTTTCAAACCATTGCCAACTAAATTCAACTATGTTTCTTGCCTGACCTTGCTTGTATTTTTCAAGACTGTTTGCAACTTCGTCCACTTGCTGAATGACTCGGAGACTTCTAGGGGTGTAAATTTAGCCTTGCCCGGCCCGGTCCACTGTCAGACCATGTGGGCTCTAGCTGAAATTTGAGCCAGCCCGGCCCACATGGCAAAAATCTAGGCCTAGGCCCAAGCCCAAGCCTACTCAAAATAGGGCCAGGGCCTGGGCTTGAGCTGCAGGCTGGGCTTGGCGGGCCTTTTTTTAGTTTATTTATGAGGGATAAAAGCCAAAAGAAAAATTGTACTAAAATATTTTAGTTAAGATTAATGAGATGTTTGGTTATGTTTTATGTGGCATTTAGTTATTATGACTTATGGTTTTTTAGTTATGACTAAAAAAAGTATGAAATTATGTAATTTTCTTTTGTTATGTCATTATTTTAGTTTTGATTCATGAGAGCTAGTTGGTCATGTTTTGTGTGGTTTGTAGATATGACTTTTTTTTTTTTTTTTTTTTTTTATTTTTTATTTTAAGTTATGACTAAGTATCAAGTTATGTCATTTTTTACTTTAGTTATGATTAGTTTTCTTCTGAAGTTATGACATTATTTTAGTTATGATTAGTGAGATATTTGGTTATGTTATGTTTTGTAGTTATGACTAAAAAACATTTAAAATTATGCTATTTTTTTATTTAGTTATAAGGTGCGTACATAGTTTTTCCCAAAAAAAAAAATGAAATGAATAATTTTATATATATCAAAATGAAACGAAATATTACAATCATTAAATTAAATAGATAACATTTAATGAATAATTTTTATTTCAAAATAAAATAAAATATTACAAAAATTAATATCATTAAATAAAATCGATAAATATTACAAAAAATTATTTTTTGGGCTCACAGTCTGGTGGGCTAAATCTACACCCCTAGTTACTTCGCTATCAAGTTTCAATATGACTTTATGTCACCTATGGGACAGGATATCATTAATCACCTTAACAGATAACAGATGCAATTATATTATATATTCTTAAATTTCAAATATTTCACCCTCTCAACCTAGATTATAGTCTTCAAGAATGATTAATTTTTTCTGTACAACATTTATGATGTGGGAGTTTTCTCCATATGTTTTTTTTTTTCCTATCTTACCCTCTCAACCTAGTTTCCTCCATATGATGTGGGAGATTTCCTATCTCTGAGGGCATTGCCAGTTTTCATGTAACTTTGCAATGCATATCTAGCAATAAAAACACCCTCTACAGTTCACCTTTGAGATTGGCTTTGTTATTAGTGGACTATACCATTGAATATTGATCTGCTTGATGCAGTTCATGGGACACTCAAGGCTAACTAAAATTAAATAATAAACTTTGGAAATCGGAATGAGTTCAAGGGGAGAGCTATTGACACTATGTTAATCATACTAGAGTCTATGCTATGTCTATTTAGCTGAAGTATGAATCTGGTTAGTTTTTCATGTGGGGGGGAGGAATTTTTGTAAATCCTAGTTCTCTAGTCATGGGTGCTAGTGGTTGTCCATGGGTCATATTACGGGTCATGCCATTGGGTTTGTAATGTGTCTTTTTAGAATGTTTTGGATAGGCTTTACAAGTCCAAATTGTTAGCTTCTAAATTTGGAGTCATTGTCCTTGCAAGTTTGTAATGGTATGTAATTCTTCTTATTCAATGTAGAGCAGAAGTTTAGTTAATTTTCTCGAGCTTTGAAGCTTTTGGGGCTGTGTGATGCAAGTTGCAACCCTAACCCTATGTGTGATGCCCAGACATAGACTCATCTCCACTTTATGACCCACAGTAAGATCTTATTACTCAGTCTTGTTTGGGCATTAAGTCCCATTTAATTAGCCCAATTATGATCGCCATCAATGAAAACCCTACCGGCCAAAATAGCAAAAGAAATTCCAATTTACTGCTCTTGGGGTACTGCGCACAGCATCTGAGCAGCTTTCAGAGTCCCAAAGTGATCTTCAAACATAGATTAATTTTGAGCTAAACCATACACTTCCAAAGAGCCCAGGCTTTTCTAGTTAGTTCAAACCTCTTAAAGTCAATTACAAACGTCTGAACACATTAGGAATGTAATACCCAAAGCCAAAACAACTGGGCATTGCAATAGCAAATGATGCATAAATACTCTCCTCATAGTAGGAAAAATGAAGATAAAACAGAGGGAAGAAAACTTATACAAATCGTTCGGGCTGCTTATAAAAAGTTTAAGCTACTCATTTAGGGGAGTGTAGTATTAAAATCCTTTTATGGCAAGAATTCCTGTTGTATTTACAAAACGACTTTTTATCACTACAAAGAAAATTATGTTCAATATGTTTTACACGTGGGTGCACGGCCTACCGTAAGCGATGATATTATGTATATATTTTAGTACACATGATCCAATGGTGAAAATCTGTATGTGCATGTGTTGTGTGTTAACAACTTCCTAGCACTTGGAACAAAAGATATCTACAGAGGTGTCTCAGGGCTAACCTCATTTTCTCTTGAGAATAGCTAATTGGCTACTTATATGTACCTTTTATTGTTCTCTTTCATTGTAAGTTTTCTTTTGTGCTTTCTCTCTCACATCTAACCTTAATTTCTTCCCGCATGTTCTTTTGCACAGCTTATATCTTTGTCTGAGAAAAAATGGTGGCAGTAAATCTGGTTGTTCATGCATCCAAAGGTGAGGGTGTTGAACTTGAGGGGAAAGAAAACAGTTCTTCACCAACATCGATGTGAAAGCATTTTGTCAAAGAATCCTGTCGAATTGCCTGCTACTTTATGAAGATGAGAGAGTGTACATCCTCGCGTTACTAATTTTATGGGCGTAATTCCCAATAAATGGTTACAATTATTGTATTTCTTGCATCGTTCTATTTTCATTAGTACCATAGGTTATCATCAACTTCTCTTTTCCTTTTTAGGCAATGGTTTCATCTTTGATTTAGCATATTAATATATATAGCAATTTACATGTTTCAATCTCAGTTTTCTTACTATCTTGGTAATTGATAATCAATTGCTCTATTTTTATCTTATTGTCCTTCCTTTGACACTTGGAACAGATGAGAGAGAACTTGTTGGATCTTCATGTTGTTTCAGTTTTGGAGGTCTATCTGGCCTCACTTTCATTTGCAGGTAGGTGTCTGACCGTCATTACAGACAACAGATTCTTTTTTCCTTTCTTTTCTTTTTGTTCTTTCTTGTGCATAGTAATGTTATGCCTTCGGATTTAACGACCTGTTCTTTGTTGAATGTGTTGCACCATGGGGAATTAACGGAGAAAAAGAGAAGTATTTGAGTTAGGATGTGGTTTAAGCTTTTATGAGGATGATTTTTCAATCAGAATCTATCTTAGGTCCCGTTTGTTTTCAGAGATAGAATGGAGGGAATTTATAATGAGAGGATTGATAGTGAGAGGATTAAGTAAAATTGTGTTTGTTTTGATGATAGTTGTTAGTGTATGGATTGTTAAATTATTTTTATATAAAACAATACAATAAATAAAAAAAATACAAAAACATTATACATTAATGTTCAAAAAAAAAAAAAATGCCTTACATGTAAAAAATTAAAAAAAATTCAAAAAAAATAAAACAATGATTTTTACTTAACAAAAAATACAAAAAATTCAACATTAATGTTAAAAAAAAAATGCCCAACATATAAAAAAATAAAATAAAAAAACAGTCCGGCCGACTAAGTTTTTAATACCACCTCCACCTCCACTTCTTCCATTTCAATCCCCTTTTCAAGGCCTATTCTAATATCAAGGGATTAGGAGTTTCTTTTCTATCTCTCAAAACAAACATAACATATAGTGGGTCTTATCTCATTATCAATCTCAATCTCCTTTCTATAACTCCAAACAAACGGGCCTTATTGTTAAAGAATGTTAGTTACTTTTACAAGTTATGACATTTGTAGTGTTGATTAACACAACTGTCATAATCAAATCAAACACATAAGGTATAATTGAATTTTCTTTTATGATAATTAAAATAATAATTATAATAGGTCATAATTAATATCATAATTAATATCATTATGAGTTATAATTAAGTCACAACTAATCTCACAAATGTTATAACTAGATCATATAGTACAAATCCCAGTATAGAATTTCCTTTAAAATATAATAAAATTATATTTACTCATGAAATAGTTTGAAGTTGTTACCACTGGGGCAGGTTGTCCCAGTGGTAAGGGCGCACACGTGGCTGTCTGGGGAAGGTGCACGGTCACGGGTTCGATTCTCTACTTGGTGAGTGCTTGCAGCAGTTTGAAAAGGGTACACGGCTTCTCCCGGGCTACTTACCTCGTAGGATTAGTCCTGGCTTCCCGAAAAATCAGAGGGGTACACGGCTTCCCCTGGGCTACTTACCTCGCAGGATTAATCCTGGCTTCCCGAAAAATCAGAGAGTTGGGATACCTGCGTTATCAAAAAAAATAAAAATAAATAAATAAATAAATTTACAAAATTATTAATTTATTTTTGTTTCTTTAAAAACACATATTTTTCATTTTTCGCAATATTTACAAATTCTAAATATATACAAATGGAATATTGCACATATATGATTTGGTTGTAACATAACTTCAATATTTTTTTTTTCTTACACGATCACAATAGTTGAAAGTATTTGCTGCTGGTTCACTGGACAATATATATCATAATGAGAAATTTTGTTATTGGTTCATTTAGAGTTAGTTTGGGAAGTGACTTTTTTTAGTAATATTTTTAGTTTTTGGCTAAAATATGAGACTAAAAAAATCAATAATTATATAGAGGAAATTAGTGAAAAGTTCAATTTAAAGGAGGTATGAGACATTAGATCCAAATTGAAATCTTATTTGGTGATAAGGACATACTGGAAAAGTTGTCGGCACCAGAAAAGTCGCCAAAAAATTGGCTAGAAAATCGGCTACTGGTGGCAGTAGATGGTGGTGATGAGATAGAGAAATGTGTGATATTTAACAAATAGTGTGTTAAATGAGTAACATGTGTCATTTCAATAGATAGGTAGTTTAGTAAATTTCAACATACGGACAAATTTAGTGATTTTGTGAGATAAGATGATTTCAAAAGATAAAAAGATAGGTTGATTTCAATATATATAGCTATCTTTTTGGACAAATTGTATCTTTTGGCTAAATGAGATTAGAGTTTGAGTTTAATGACCTAAAAGATTAAGAAATAGACTTATGGCTTGAGTGTCTTAATATATTTGAAAAGAATTTTTTGATTTCTTACCAAAAAAAAAAGAAAAAAAAAAAGTAGAACTTTAAAAGATTAAGAAATAGACTCATGCCTATTTTATAAAATAGTCATTTTTTCAAAAGTAGAACTTTGTTTCTCATTGACTTTTAAATTTTTTTTTTTTTAAGATATGAATTGAAATTTTTTTAATGATTTTAAAAAAAAAAATTGGTTAAAATTGTCTCTTCTCAAAAATGACTTGCTATTAAATTGCTTTTATGACTATTATATATGTAAATGCTTATTTTATAATTAATTATGGAAATATATCAAAAAGTGAAAAGTTAAAAAAAATAATTACAAACTCACGAACGTACAACTCTTATTTGCACCAATTTAATGCATAAACTACTTGTACTTTCATGAGTTTGTAATTATTTTTTGAACTTTCCATATTTTTGAAATTCTCCCATTAATTATGAGTAGCGCTATTAGCACCCCATGAATCATTTTGGATCTCCTATTTCTTTAGACTCCCATTTATAAATTTTGAAATTCTTAAAATTTCTTTTCCTCCCCAAATCATACCAAAATTACTCTTGTGAAAACATTCAATCCATTGAATACACACTTTCCACACTCCCAAACCCCAAAAAAACCCCAGTTCAAAAAAAATCCTAACAAAGCCCACGAAGAAGAGGAAGAAGAAGAAGAAGAAGAGGCAATGTGATTACTGTCTTTCCTGTCTTATCTATCATTGTCACAGTTGATATGCTATCCCCTCTCTCTCTCTCTCTATATATATATACATAATTACTTAATTTTCTCATAATAATTTCTTCTCTTGTAGAAAAAAATTATAATAATTGGTTTAGTTTTCTCAGTAAAATAGGTCCGAACTTATAAATAATGTTCGATTACCTGTTTCTGAACAAATAATAAATGTTCGGTTACTGGTTCCTGAACAAAAAAACAATGTTCAGCCCTGTGTTCCCGAATTTCGATCATATGTTTGGGAGTTTAGTCTAGAAAAAAATGACAAACAGATTTTATTATTTTTGTCATTTTTTACGAGAAACTTACCTTTACAAGGCCAATCTTCTCTGAGTTAAGAATAGCATCAAAGATATGAACCTCCTCTAAGCTTTTATTATTGTATTCCTTATGTCTTATGGAGTTGTAGTTGTCAAAAAAACTTTCACTCATTGTCATTGCTGGAGAAGTATAAGTAATCAAATCGTTGCCACTATTATTGTCGGAATATTGTCACCAAAGGGTTTTCAAGGTTTTGAGGGTGGGTAGGTTTTGAATGTGAGATTTGGGAAAGATGAATGGGTGATGATGGAGGTAGGTACTCTCATAAACCCTAATTCATGATGTAGTGGGTGTGTAGGTTTAATTGCGAGATCGGGTGTCTCAAAATTAATGCCGTCCTTTGTAGTAATTTTATTTGAGGTTATTATTGTAATAAATAGATAAAAAAAATGCTAAAAATTGAGAGATCCAAAATAATTTATGGAGTGTTAATAGCAGTACTTTTAATTATTTATGTTACCAAAAAATTATGGAATAATTACCAGAAGGTCTTAATTAGTGGATTTATTTTCTCACAAGTCTTAAGTAAATTTTTTTCAATCAATTTTACCTTTGTTTGGATAATGAATTTTTTTTTAAGATTTTTTATGTGTTTTGTGCTTGTGAAATGAATATTTGGAATTGATAATCATACTGATAAATTTATTAAAATGATAAATAATTTTGATATATTGAATTTTGTTTATGAATTTTGATTTATTTTTAATTTATTTGTGTTAATTTATATTAAAATATGATAAGTAGTTGAATTGTATTTTTTATTTATTTATAAAAATTACAATAATAAAATTTTCACTAAAAATTAAAGAAGAACTTTTTAATAAATAAGTCCAGTTCACAACCTATTCGGAATTACCTCAAAAATTATTCTATTACTTTATATATATTTTTAATTTATTTAATAACCACAAACACTATGCATGCCGCCGCGTCACTAGTACAAAATGGAAGGGTAAAAATATAATTTTATTTGAAACTTCCTGCATCTCTTCTTGTATGTTAATTGTCCAAAAATTCCACCGACAATAATTGGAAGCTGATAAAAAGGGGTATTATGGGGAAAAAAAAGACAAAATAGAAGCCATTGGAGTCTCTATTTTCGCCCACCAATTAATTTCTGTCCATACATTTAATGAAATTTTTTTTATTACCATTTTATCTGAAAATAAAATTACAATAATATTCTTATGTTCTTCATCCCAAATCCTAATCATGCAACTATCAATCACAATACCATCACCCTCATTGCCAATGTTGCCTCTTCCATCCGCTATCCTCTCTCGTCGTCTCTTCTCCACACAATTGTGATCTATCTCTCTACTATGAATCACCCGCTCTTGTGAAACCACTCCGCCACAAGTGCCCTCCACTGCAAGCAACCACCACCACCACGAACGCACATCCCCAATCCCTCTCTCTTTTGTCACAAGCATTCTTTTTGTAACACAACCTTCCACTTTTACAAAGTTTTATCGCCGTCGTCGTCACTACAAAAATGAAAAAAAGCTGCTTGAGGGTTACAAGATAGAGAGATCGTGATCATGAGGGAAAAAAAAAGAAAAAAAAGAAGACTACAGTGGTTGAGTGGTAACGGCAAAATGAGAGAAGGACAAGAGATTTGGAAGGCTATGGAGGTGGCAAGAAGAGTCGCTGGAGTTAAAGCGCTAATGAGGCAAAAGTGGCAAGAATGAGCTATGGGAATGATGGCAAGGACTGCGGTGGAGGCGACAACTGTGGGTGGTGGTTAGAGTTAAGGTTAGGTTTCAAAAAGTTAATGATATTTTTTACATAAACAGATATGTAGGGATAAAAATTTAATATTACGAAATAAGTGCATCTATGAAGATAAGATGTGTACAGAGAGTTTGTTGTGTGAAAATAGAAACCCCACCATATATAATACAGTGAAAACATTTTTTGAAACGGCATAGTTCTCTTATATTATAGTGGATACATTTATAAAAAGTTCTTTGGATCGGAACTGATAAAATCCAAACAGACTGAATCCGCCATTGTCATATCCCACATCAAATCATCCGGATTCAATAATTTTCAAATGTTCAACCCGATAACTCAACCCGATCCAATAACTTTCCCATTATTGTTTACATGAAAATACTTTGTTGTATAATTTCATGTCCATAACAATTATGCAGATTCATTTTGAGAGTGAAAACTTAACCAGACCCAGATTATCTGTGTATATAGGTCAACGCAAAAATATATATATATATATGATATAGAATCATTGTCTGAAAACAAACATGATATTTATCAATGGCAATACAATGAAAAATAATGAGAATGCATTGTCAAACAATGAAATGGGTCCACAAGAAGCTGTAAAGTTCATCTTTTCATACCAACCAAAAGAAAATAACAGTATCAGGCCCACTTGGTATCCTTTTCATATTTTCGTATCTTAAAAATTGATGTTTGGCAAAACTTTTTCTGAAAATAATTTGCAAAAACAACCTTCACGATGCTCTTGGTAATCCAGTGTTTTGAACAAAATCAACATGTAATTTTTCTTCAAGTCATAGACACATGTTTAATCAACCATCTCATAACAAGCCTTCGGTATCATATCAAATCAATTAATATTCGAACCAACAAAGAATGAAAAAAAGGAATTCCCAGCCAAAAAATGAAATGAAAGAAAGAAATGTTCTTTGCTATACATGGCGATGCTTCATATTCAAGACTGCGATAATGGTAGTGAGTCTAGTGACCTTCTGTCCGTTCTTGCAGTTGAAAAAACTGAAAGAGATCGGAATCTGAACCCAAAATAACAGGTTACTGAATGAATTGGCTGGGTGGTATATATGCAAAGAGCAATTACTACTTCAGTAGATAATACAGCAAAAGAACTGCTTCCTTTGTGTACTCCATAAGCACGTAGTTAATAGATAATAAGATTATATATCCAGCAGCATACAGCTAAATGAGTATTGCAACTCAAACTTCATTCAATCTCAGCAGCTCATCTGATTGAAAAAACAAAATAAAAATTAAATTAAATTAAAATTTAGAAGGTCAATAGAAGTGTCAAAATCCAGCCACAATTTATTCAACTTGCGGAATTTTAATTTATTTAATGGAAAAAAAGGATGTAACTCCCGCTTACAACGGGGTGGGAGCGGTTGTGAAGACGATGATTGCTGTGACTCAAAGCCGTGCCACAGTAATGGGCAAATAGAATTTGCCATCTCTCCTAATTTATTTATGTAGGAAAAACACTTTTGAGGATGGCTGATAAGAAACAGTTATTGTGCAAGCAGTGCCTGTGATACTCTACAGATAAGTAATACAAGTTTCAGGGTACACCCTATGTTACCTAGAACACAGATTGTTCTGGTACAAGGAATAGAAATAGGAATATGATACACCACATGCTCTAAAATGTGGTACAATAAGGGTAAAGTTCTTAATTTGATATCCAATATACTACCGTGTATTTTTCTTCATATTAATCATTCAACAACACAAATGTTTTAAGCATTATGACCCATTGTTTTACATTTTGTCAATCTAAAACTTCATCTAGATTTTAGTTCATTTTATCATACTTTTTCCCTATTAAGAACTTTCAATGAAAAAGATAGAAAATTTTTTTTGGAATCTCTTTGGATTGCTAAATTTACCATTTCGAGATGAAAACGTACTATGGTTTGGAACGTACATTCCAAAACATAAATCGCTAGGGTGTTGGCATTTTCAGGTAAACAGGGAGGTCAAAACAGACCCTAAATATCCATCCTCAAACCTCAACTAAATCCTACCTTCCAGGGTTTCCAGATGTCTGCCTGGATGCATTACACAAGCATTAGGTGAGCATTCCATAGTGTGTATCAGTGCATGTGTATAAAGATTCAAGTAGTCCCGTAATTTTGAAGTCACAAAGTGAGATTGAAAGACAGAAAATGAGGGCCACAAATGAAATTTGTTATACAATACCTGCTGATGATTTATCATATGGCATCTTGAACATTCCTTCAGACTCTATTTGAAGAGACCTCAGATATCCCATGGCCATCATTATGAATCTGAGCCAAAGGATTCACAATAAACCCACCAGCACTTTGAAGCCGAAATCTTCTGTTCTCCAAATTAAATGTTTCAGCATTGCCATTGTTATTGCCTATGTTATGGATGGCAGCCAATGGCGGTGTGCCTCCAGAAGAAGAGAACCGAGAGGTTGAATGCCGGGGTTCAGTTCTCCTCCAGAACTTCGGACTCAAAAAATCTGCACCAGGTAATTTACAACATGTGGTTCCTTCAGAATCAATATTTGACATCCTGCCAGTTGTCACAGCCAAATCATATGAGATCTCATCCAGTGCTAGCTCTAACCCGTGCACCCGTGTCTCCAGAGAACGCATTCCATTTTGTGAGCTCCCAATGAATGTCTGATTTAAGAAGAGGAGCAAAATGTGTGAACAAGGTTTCATAGCAGTCAAAAGGCATAATAAATCAGCAGAAGACCACAAAGCACCAAGAATACCATGTAACATGGAACAGATGTATTTGGGTATTCAGCTTCAGGAATAAAAGAATATGCATATGTTGCAGGCGAAGAGGGAAAAATTCAAAACCCTGAAATCTTATAAAATATGCAAGATGCTTGCTTAAAAAGAAATTAACAGTCAAGAGTTCCAATATAGTTTCTCCGATATATCTCATTGAGAGTATGTTAAGAGAACATGGATTCTAAAGCTATAAAAGGATGGATTGTGGTTTCATTCACATTATGAAGTAGGACAAAAGAATAATTCAGGTTTTGGTGATGGTAGTCAAAATGAATATTAGATGATGCCATGCCATCCATTGTTTGGTACACTCAAAGCTTCAACCATAAGGAAGCTAATATCAGCAAATCTATCATAGTCAAATTGTAAAGAGATTGCCCAACATCTTTATTGCTTTCGTTTTGCAATAATAACATTTTGTATGCAACATGATCAAAATCAAACTAAAATTTATGTTTCAACCGTCAAAATATTAGTGTATCTCATTCCATGCACAAAAAGCAGTTTGCATCAACTTATATCTGCAAGTGCATCCAGTGCCAGTGAATCATCTGTAACCTCAATTTTGACTTCTAAATGTTAGATCAAAGTTAAAATCAAAATTTAGATCTTCTAATAATTAGCAAAAGTTATGTAGTACAGATAGAAAAGAGGATATCCAAAACCAAAGGAACAATCTCTCAGCATTGAATATCACAAGAAAAGAATAGAGATAAAACACAACTTATTGGCAGCTAAAATCATGTCAAATTCATGACTTGCGTAGTAATTTCCAGCAAAATCTTGTTATTATCAGGAGACAATTCATGATTTATACCTTGAAGAGTATATGAAGTAATTATGAGGATAACAATGACAACATCACATTTTTTTCAGTAATAATAAGTTGAGGGAACCTTGGCTGATTTAAATTCTCAATCCAGTAAACTAATGTTTATATCAAAGTAAAACCATACATATGAAAAGCAATTCACTTGGCATAGATAAAATTATTTCTGAAATATGTTCATATCATAAGATGGCAAAAATCAATTACTTCAATGAGGGAGTGTAATGGTCAAATGTAAGAGAATTACCTGGAGGAGATCTAATAAACTGGATTGCTGATTTTCAATATGAACGAGCTGCTTGCGGATCAAAGATAGATCCTCACTCTCTTTCTGGTTCTTATGGATATTCTCAGTAATGTTACCAACTGCAACGGCAGATTCTGAGCTGTCATCATGACACGGAACTACCCGAGATCCAGCTTTGACACCGCCTAATTTGAGCATTTTGTGATCATCATTCTTATGGAAGAGAGCCCGTCTTATTTCCGGCTTAAAAAATCTACTTTTCAGTTTTTCACCTTTCTCATCTCTACTCCTAGGATCATCCTCACAAACCACTGTAGCAGAGGGAGTACGAGGGGCAGAAATTTCTATTTTCCAATCAGTGGGTTTTTTACGGTCCAGCTTTCGAAACATTGCTGGACCTGATTTCTTCTCACCACTATCTAGAGGACTTCTGTTCTGGAAAGTAGTTGCAAGTGATCCATCACGTAAAGCAGACCTGTTTCCTAGGATGCTTTTCTTCCTCATTTGAGGAGCTCCAGAAGTAACAGTGCAGGATGTTTTGGACCCAGGTGGATCTCGTCCATCACTAGCATCCTCTGTCAAAATTTTTAGAAACAAGATAAAATTTAGCTGTAAACAATACCTAGAAATGTAACAAATAGGGGCCAATATATTCATGAAAAGAAAAATAAAAGCGTCAATTATACAAAAAAGGAATGCAAAGAAAATAAGAGGATTGGCACTTCATTTGTCATGGAATTCAAGAAAACCAAGAAGATTGTGAAAACCCAGAAGTCTAAACTAATTATAAGTTTAAACATATCAAATTGAAATTACATACGGAACCACTGATCACAAGATGAGAAAATTCATTATATTTGGTTGTGAAAATTCATATATCATAATGTTATATTTTCCAAGAACAAAATATGAATTTGAACAACCAGATCGGACCATCAATATTAAAGAAAATCCAATATATAAATGTTGGCAAGAGAAAATCTTGTACCTTTGGAAGAAGATTGTGATTCAAGAGGCGGCGAAACCTCATCTGAAACATTGGGAATTTCTTTCCAAGCCTCCACCAATTGAATCATGGTCTCCCTCACCATTTTCACCTACACAAACAACATCAAGCAAAACACACTCAATTTCAATCCACAATTTCAAATAACCAAATCCATAATCTAAAAACTTAAAAATCGAGTCAAACCTTATCAAATTTTCTAGCCTCAAAAGTCTTCAAACACGAAACCTTAAACTCCATCAACAAATCTCTCTCCACCAATGCCAACTTCAGCAGCGCCTCCGCCGCAGCCTTCCTCGCCGCCCAATCTTCAGAACCTATAAACTCAACCAAACACGGCACTAAATTCTTCACAATTTGGTGAGTTGAAGCAGCTCCAGATCCGATCACACTTCCGATCAGCGTCAACAGCGCAGGCTTCGCCTTAAAGCTATCACACTTCAACAACCTCTCGAGTTTCGGCAACAATTTCCTCAAATACATAGCATCCGGATCTGAAGCAGCATCGATCGCCGACGCGAGGCACAACGCGGCTCCGATCTGAGAATTCTGATCTTGTTCGGTGACCAGAGATTCAACGAAGGGCTTGATGATGGAAGTGAACGGAGGTTTGGTGAGGTGAGAGGAGATAGAGGCGGTGGCGGTGATGCAGGCGGAGCGGACGGAGGAGTCGGGGTCGCGGAGGCGGCGGAGGACGGCGGAGAGGAGTTTGGAGAGGTGAGGAGAGAGAGAGTCGCCGTGAGATTGGGAGAGGAGGGAGATGAGGCGGAGGCATTGTTTACGGACGGGGGACTTGTCGGAGGAGTCGGTGGCGGAGATGGAGGAGATGAACGGAGGAATGGAGTCGTGAGTTAGGGTTTTGGCGATGGATTCGAGCTCTGTTGCGGCGGCGGAGTGGGTGTCGCGGTCGGAGAGCTTGTGAAGGCATGTTAGGACTCGGTGTTTCAGCTCTCGAGTCGAGGCTGCTTGGGACCTTGCTAGAGCCATTGTGGTGGTTGTGGTGATGGTGGTGGTTTTAGGGTTGAGGTCGTTGTGGTGGTGGTGGTGGTGTTTCCGGCGACATTGCCCGGGAAGAGAAGGAAATGTCGGTTGCGTTAAGCCAGTTTATGGGTTCAGCTTTTTAATAAGCACTTTTTGTTAGTCCTTCCTTCTTCTCTCTTTTTATAAAGAGGAAGCATGAGGGACTGTAAAAGGAAGTTGCTTTTCACTTGTTTACTGATGTATAATACGACGTCGTCTCTTTAACGAAAGATAGAGTCTACCAGATTACCACATTGCATCCTGAGCATAGCTGGATATTTTTAATTTATTTCTTCAAAACAAACATTTATGTGGTAAATCCTTAAGATATGTGATTGGATATAGCTCAAAGTTCATTAATGAAAAATGGTTGGCCCACTGAAATAGAGGGAGTTCGATTCCGTCCGAATGATATGACTAGACGATTAGTCGAATAATTTTTCAGACGATTTCTCAAATGACAGGTGTTATCCTTGTCAACTAGCGTTTGTTAGGATGATTAGCCAGACTACTTCTTGAATGACCAACGTGTCTATCGATTTGCACAAATTCAATCAATTCCAATGAGTCCAAATTCAACTAATATAGCATTATTGTTATATGAATTTTAAAATTTTATAACATTTGCTGTCTCAAGTCTTTGAATGGTTACTCTAGGATTATTAAATGGGTTTGGAATGTTACTCAGCTCAACTTAAAAGAGTGTTTAGGTTTGGTATATTCATTTTGATTTTAGGACTCATTAAATAGACTATTCATATAAAAAATCAATATGACCAAACATCGGTAGTTATATATTTGAATTAAATTTGTATTACAAAATTAGATGGCTATTCTTGAAATTATATTTATCATCTATTTTTTTAAAAATAAATATGATTCAAAGATATAACTATCAATATACAATTATCTTAATTTTTTGCATGAATATTATTTAACAAATCCTAAAAATTGAACGGTTTGGATGATCAAAATTGTTACAAAATGGACCTACCAAACCCAAACGCTCTCTCAAGTTGAAATGACAATTTCAAAGAAACCAAACCCTTAAAAAGATTAGAAGAAAATTATGTGAAATTATTTATGTAATATTCTTAGTTAATAAGAAATTGTAACACATTAAATAAGTAATTATTTATCTTTACTTAATAAAGATGAATTAGTATATTTTACCATCAAAATTTTTTATTATATAGACAATATTGTAGAGTGTTTCATACTACTATAAGTAATAATGTGAATTATAAATAGAAATGTAACTATTGTACCACATCACTATAATTACAGTTAGACAATAAAAACTGTCGGCATAGCATGTTGACTGTCGGCATAGCATGCTGAATACATTTTATTTTTTATTTTTATTTGAATACTATTACTAATAACCTCCAGATAAATATGAAAACTGTTTTTTTTTTTGTTATTTATTCATTTTTTATGTTATTTTTATTTGTTATTTATTTATTTATTATTTATTTTTATGTTATTTTTATTTTTTTTTAATTTTTTTATGGGATGAAAAGTGTGTTTGAAACTATTAAAATTTTTAAATGAGATAATAGTTTCCAGCTGCAAATACAAGGCTCGGATTTTATGCTGCTAAATGCAGCATTAGTATCATACCATGTCCAAAAACTAGAGCTAATTAAAAATGATAAGATTTGAATCCACATTATCACAAAACAAAGAAAGAATTAAAAAAAGAAGAAGAAAAAAGAGAGAGAGAGAGTATTGTAATTAAGGCTGCAAACGAACTGAGTTTTTCATAAACAGCTCGAGGTTAGCTTATTTAAAACTCGTTTAAACTCGACTCGTTTATTAAATAAATGAGTTTGAACTTGATTTTTAGGCTCGTTTATTAATCAAGCCGAGCTTGAGTAGCTCTAAGCTCGGCTCGATAAGGCTCGTGAATATAAAAATAAATAAATAAATATTTATTTTTAATAATATATTAAATAAAATTTCAATAATCTATTTTATTTTTTTATTTATGTTTGGTGTTTATGCAAGTTTACATATTTGATTGATGAAATTAATATTTGACGAGCCGAGCTTGAACTTGATTTTAAAGCTCAACTAGAGCTCGGTCTGAACTCAAGTTTGATTAATTCTTAATAAATAAACTTAAATATTTAAAAATTTAACTCAATTCTGCTCAACTCGTTCACAACCCCAATTGTAATGGAAATTGGAGTGGTTCAAAGTAACATGAATTGGGATTTGAAAGGGTCAAAAAGGCTGGTAATTTGAGAGCCAGAGTGGTCCCAAAAGTGAGGATTGGCAAGGTTATTAAAGAAATATTAATTATAATATGGAACATTCTATTAGCACACTACAAGAAATATCCGATTATACCATTTGTTTTGTTTGGGTATAAATTTTTAAGTAAAAGACAAATATTCAGACATAAATTAATAAATAAATATAAATTGTTGAAATATATATTATGTTCAACTATTTATTTCTGAACAATTATTTTTTAGTCAAGAATTTACAATTATTTTTTAGTCAAGAATTTATATTCAAACATTTGACTTTTGTTCAAAAATTTATACTTGAACAATATAATGGTATGTGGTGATGTTTTTTGTGATGTATAAATTGAGGCTTCGTTTGGAAAGTTGGGTTTATAGTCAAAAAGTCACTATAAATTGACATATTATTCTTTTTACACGTTATTTATAAAAAGTCAAAAATTTAATTATAATAGTCAATTTTCAAACGGGTCCAAATTACCCTTACGATATATATAAAGGAAGGGATTTTCAATTTCCGTAAACAATTTTCTTTGAATAAATTTACTTATTTGGATATCAACTTCCAAATAAAATTACATAATATCAACTTTCAAATAAAATTATATTATTTCCAAATAAAAGTTGTTATAAACGAATTTCTTCTTTTATGCCTAGTTATAAGGAGAAAAAAATGATATTTAAATATAATTTTTATATAGAAATTAAAAAAAATGATGTGACGATAACACTTTTACAATTATAAATTTAAATTATAGACATTTTAATTTTTGATAAATAAATATAAATGTTAGCCATTATTCTGTATAATTATATATATATAATTTTTATTTGTACATCATTATCTATGTAAAAATCTAATAAAAATATATTTATATATAAAGTTAAAAGTGAGTAATTTGCTCCAACTTTCAAGTAATCCAGTGAGTGAGAGTGGTGGGGGAGTAGGATGCAAGTAAACATATGGTCATATAATCAAGTTGCTTTTAACTACTTCAACTCTAATTATTACTTGCTCATTATTAAAGTTTGTGTTTGTTGAGCTTCCAATCTTCTATACCTTTCTCATTTTTATTTTTTATCTTTTATTTTTATTTTATTTTTTTAATTTGGCAGCATGTCAACAAAATGGGTCATGTGACAGTGGAAGGAACAAGACTAGGGATAAAGTATTAGTACTGTGTTTGATTTTTTATTGCAATTTTTTGTGTATGCAAAAATTAATTATAAAATAAGGTACAATTTTTTCATATGAGTGTGAAATTCATAAAAGGAGAGACTTATTTCCCGGGAGAGAGTTTTGTGAATTAATTTTCTGTTTTCGTAAATTTTTTCTCTCCATTGAAGCAAAAGTAACTTGATTGTTGTACTCAACAATGACTTCATCAAACTAAAACATGGTTTTGGAGCCAAGTTTAACGGCATGTTTGGTATTACAGTTTGATACCTAGGTTTGAAGTGAAATCTGGCCTACCCTTTTGCTTCTCTAGAGTTGTAATCCATGACAATATAAGATAAATAATGCTATATACTTATCACCTTTTAATAAGTAATATTATAATGATGTGTTTGTATGTCATATTTGGGTTAACAAGCTATTATTGTATTGGTAATATATATGATTGGTGGAATTCATTCAATTAATACAATAAATCTCGAGCAGAGCTTACGGGTGTGGCTTTAAAGAGTTGATAGCACCTAATAAGAGTTGAACTTTAGATCTGGAGAGAGCACATCCCCAAGTCCCAAGCTGCATCCATTAGGTTCAGTTATATGGTTATCATTTTGGTTATGACTAAGAGTTTTTTAGTTATGCCTTAAATGATGTTTGGTTATGACCCATTGTATTTGTGGTGTTGTTGATGACTTAATTATGATTATTCTAATTGTCATTTTGGTTATATCTATGTAGTGTTTGGTTATAATCTATTATAAGTCATTTAGTAATAATTGAAAGTAATTTAATTATAATATTTTATGGTATGAACACTGTCAAATGTTATAATTTGAATATGATACACCCTTTTGGGGGGTGTATTGTAGGACCCTGAATAAGAAATATAACGTTAACACTTTTTTTGAGATGATAGACAAATGTTACATAGGTTTCGTTTGGGAAGTGGGTTGATTTTTTTGATTTTTTGACTTTTTTAGCTATTTTATTATGGGGTTAAAAAACTTAGTTTGGGAAGGACTTTTGACTTTTTTGATTTTTTGTGAGAAAAAGAATATAATGATTATGGATTAGATGTAATGTTTTGTCTTATTGAACTAAAAAGACTATTTTATTTTTTGTGATTATGTTAGCCAAAAAATCCTCAAATCCAACTTTCCAAACATAGGCATAAAATATATTACTCAAATAAGATGGCTTGGATTTAGGGTATTTGGAAGTGAACCTTTTTCTTTTTCTTTTTTTTTTTGCTGCAAATGAAAGCAACTACTACTTGAAATTAGCACTGCATTGGACTTGGCATATTCTTCGGAATAGTCAATGTCTAAAATCATCACATCTAACTGTTCGTGAAACTATATTCTAAGTAAAAATGAATTAAGTCAAAAGGGAAAAAAAAAAATACAATTGATTAACTTTTATTTTTGTTTGTTAATCATTCAGAAATTTAATTGAGCTTGTTCGTACTTACAAGAAAACAGTCATGGCGAGACTCACATTTTCTTGTTAGAAATGAAAACAACTTTTTATTTCTTATTTTTTATTTTTACATCATTTGAATGCAACCTTTAAGTAGATTTTTATGTTTCAACTTCAAAAGAAATTGTTTTACGATATTAAGTTGTCAAGAATATTGTGCGGGCCTATTCACAAAAGTATGTTTCTTTAAAAAAAAAAAATAAATTAAAAGAAAAGAAGAAAA